TCACCGGGAAGGGGAAAAGGGTGCCTCAACCAGCCGAGGCCTACAGTCGGCAACATCAGCTAGACCAGGAGAAAATCGAAACACTGAGTAACAAGGTGTGTAACCAGTGGCTTGGGCTTTCCAGCACTTTGAGCAGAGACTTTTTTTTTCAGTTTCCTTTCCATGTTATTAGCTAGCAAAGCTTCACCGCCTAGCCCTGAAACTCCACAAATCTGAAGGCAGAAGTAAAATATCATTTCTGCCTGTGCCCAACCCTCAAAGCTTCCCGGAAAAGACGGGAACTAAACTGACATGCATAAAGTGTTCAGGTCTCTGTTAGTTAGCAAGTTACGCAGACACCGAGGTGTTGTTCCTAGGTGAAGTTTTCCAACGAGAGATGGAGCACCCAGCGTTTCACTGGATCTCTCTGAATCCATGGGGCTGCTCCCCTTCCAGACCTTTCAAAAGCAGCGCAGTCATGGGTGCCGCACTGCAGCGTTGTGCCAGGCATGGTCTGGAAGTGTGAAGAAGCTGTCCCCACCAGTATGCTCCAGCAGAATCCGTGCTGGGCGCTGCCAGCGTGTCTTGGCAGCAGGGAGCTGTGCAGTTTGCAGCGTACCTGCGCTCTCTTGGCAAGGGAGCTGCCAAAACTGGCGTGACCCTATGTTAGCTAGCATTGATTAACCCTGTGGAGACCTTGTTGGCTGGGTGTAGGCTCTTCTCTTTCTCAGACTCGTTTTCTCACAATGCTGAGGTGGTTTTTTTTTTCCCTCATCCTCACTTTTTGCGCTGCTAACGTAACGGAGCTGCTTGTTGGGGAGGATTTTTCCATTTGCTGTGGGAAAGTTTCCAGCTCAAGCACTGAGTTGTATCGATGTATAATGACAAGGTTCAAAAGAAAGCTTCGGTGAATTGGCTTACGATGCTAAATTTCTCCCTCCCGTTAACCCTGTCAGTTCTGGAGAACATCTCTCACTAAAGAGTCATCCTGAAGGGGATGCTGGTGTCTGCTGGCTTTCTTGGGTCTCACAGCAGTACGTGTTTCTAACCAGGCTGCACCGTGTATCCCACTGAGCAGGTCCGGCAGCTGGAAAGGAGCATTGGGCTCAAAGATCTGGCCATGGCTGAGATGGAGGAAAAGATCCGCAACATGGAAGCTTCCACCTACGATGGTGTGTTCATCTGGAAGATAACAGAATTTGCCAGGAAGCGTCAGGAGGCAATAACAGGCCGCTCTCCTGCGATCTTCTCTCCAGGTTATTGCCCACACATTTGCAAAACTGCAGAAGCCTTTTGCCTCTCAGCTGGGTGTGGGATTTGTAGCGGTGTCCTTGGCAGGGGAGGTGCTGGCCGTTCAGAGGTACTTCTGTTCTGTCCCCCTTTCCCCGTGGAGCATGGAACATTTTTTTTTTTAGCGTTGGGCTAAATGAAACTGCTCTGCTGAAAGAGGTGCTTTTTTGATTGCAGAAGACCTTTGAATTTTGCGTAATAGAGAACGCAACCCACTTAGCTCTGGAATAGCCCTGTGTAGCCCTTTAGTTAGAATTAAAATACTCACAGACCATAAAACCAGCAATAAAGTGGTTAAGGAAGGGAGGATATTAGAGCCCCAGAAATATATTTTGGTGCCTAAAGCATGACGGTGCAAGAGACAATGTCTAAATAAAGCCCAAACCATACCTAGGGAAGTGCTTGAATAGCTGTTAGAGGAAGGGGCTCTCCTCACAGAACTGCCCCAGCCCAGCGCTGTTCCTCCTCTGCTTAAAAAAGAAAATCTCAGACAGTGAGCAGGAGGTTGTGATCTGGTTGTTTGCATAGGAGAGCACTTCCCAGGCTTGCAGCTGTGAGGTGAAACCATCTCTTCGCACAATTTCATTGCTCGGTGGGGAGCTCACCTCACAATGAGACGCGTTTGTGTTTGCCTGAGCAGGAATCCCGTAGATTTAAGCGTGCTGGAGAGCTTTTTCAGAATGCCCAGAGCTGCATGCAAACCCAGAGCACGAACCTGACGCCTGCCTCCTGGTGCTGTGGAAATGCAGACTGTGGCTGGGCCACAAGATACAAGCAATTGAATTTTAAAAACTATTTTTAGCTCTGTTTCCTGGGTGAAGGCTGTTCAGAGTCCTTTTTCTCTTGAAAAACTGACAGAAAAAAGGATTCTCCTTCTTGAGGGGAACTAAACTGCTACTGAAACTGTGTGCACGCCATTGGCGTTGTAAAAGGCAGCAGCAGCCGTGGAAAACCCCTGCTCTCTGTCCCCTTCGGGAAGGGCAGCACTTCCTTCCTTTTCCCAAGTCTGCTTCAAATCTATGTTGTTTGACTTAAAGAGAGGACCTTAATTCTGGCATCTCGTCCATCTCCTGCACCGTGCTCGAGAGTTGCTTGACCTGAACGTCTGCAGAGGCTGTGGTTTGGAGGGAGATGCTGGACGGAGCTGCCCGTTTTCCTCTGGCCACGGGCACCCCGGCTCGCTGTGCCCCAGCTCAGGGGCTCCTCAGGCCCCTCCACGAGCTGATGCCGCCCGGGCTCTGCGCGGCGGGGTGGGATTTGGTTTTCTAGGTCGGAGAATCAAGTCAGCTGGTGGAGGGAGAGAAGTATCAGAGTCAGGCCAAGGGAGGGAAAGGGGTGAAACCTCTCCGAAGCAAGAGGCTTCGTCTGTCCCGACATTCGTTCGGCCGTGCTCTGAATGCACAGTTCCTCCCAGCACTGCAGCTCGTGGTTGCCGGTGCCTCCTCCATGCCGCGTGCTGGCCGGTCTCCATCCCACACCTGGGCAGCGGTGGCCAGGCCTGCCTTTGCAGCGCTCAGGGCTTTTATAAACCCTTTCATCAAAGGCAAAACTACTTTGTGGACCACCAGACTCTGTTTTGTGTTGCTGGTTGGTCTCTGCAATCTGCTAATGAAAATCTTGTACGTGGCTGGAGGGATTGGAAGGTGAGGGTTGCCTCTGCCTGACGCCGGGGCTGCTTCTGGAAAAGGCAGGACTTCTTTTTTTTATCTTGCAAGTGCAAAGTACAAGGCCTTGTCTCCTGCAGTAGTCGATTGTGTCGCTTAGATGAGAGATTCTCATTCCTTGTGCTGCTTTAGCTGAGAAAAACAGGCTGAGAAACAAATGCTTCTTGTGGAGGTGGGTTTTTTTGTCTTAGAAAGGGAAGCAAATAGACTGGTGCTGTTCAGTCTGGGAAGGAGAGAGCTGGGAGGAGAGAGGGCTGCGTTGTGAATAGGATGGAAAAAGGGAAATGAGTAGAATTGTTTGGTTTGTATTTAAATGTAAAGGCAAGGAAATACCAAATGAAATCAGTGTTAAAACAAAGAGAAGGAAGCAGAGTTACCACTCACTCGCCTTGTGAGGACACGACGACTGCCGCAGGATTTTGCAAAGGGCAAAATCATGAGTTCAAAAAGGCAAATCCGCACAAGAAAGGTTCATCGGGGGTGTGAACCGGAACAGCCCAAAGCAAAGCTCCTGCTGGAAGGCCACCCGCCGCTGGCCATCAGATGCTAGGGGCGGCTCGCTGGGCTCTTGCCTTGCTTCACATGCTCTTTGCCTTTGCCTGGGCCGGGGGGAAGCAGGGTGCCTGGGTCGCTGTTCTGAGCTGGCGGCGTGGCGCAGAAGGTGTTTAGCACTCGGGCTGCCTGCTGCCTTTTCCCAGGTACTCGCACCGCTCTGGGGCCGTCCTTCCTCCAGTTCCCCGCCTGGTTTCACATTCACGGGGTTCCGGGAATGC